ACACAAACACACAACCATTAATCACAAACACACAACCGCTACACACACACACAACCGTTACACGCAAACACACAACTGTTACACACAAACATACAACCGTTACACACAAACATACAACTGTTACACACAAACACACAACCGTTACACACAAACACATAACTGTTACACACAAACATACAACCGTTACTCACAAACACACCACCGTTACACGCAAACACACAACTGTTACACGCAAACATACAACCGTTACACACAAACACACAACCATTACACTCAAACACACAACCGTTACACACAAACATACAACCGTTACTCACAAACACACAACTGTTACACGCAAACACACAACCGTTACACACAAACACACAACCATTACACTCAAACATACAACCGTTACTCACAAACACACAACTGTTACACACAAACACACAACCGTTACACTCAAACACACAACCGTTACTTACAAACACACAACTGTTACACACAAACACACAACCATTACACTCAAACACACAACCGTTACACACAAACATACAACCGTTACTCACAAACACACAACTGTTACACACAAACACACAACCATTACACTCAAACACACAACCGTTACACACAAACATACAACCGTTACTCACAAACAAACAACTGTTACACACAAACACACAACCGTTACACTCAAACACACAACCGTTACTCACAAACACACAACCGTTACACACAAACATACAACCGTTACTCACAAACACACAACTGTTACACACAAACACACAACCATTACACTCAAACACACAACCGTTACACACAAACATACAACCGTTACTCACAAACACACAACCGTTACACACAAACACACAACCGTTACACACAAACACACAACCGTTACACACAAACATACAACCGTTACTCACAAACACACAACCGTTACACACAAACACACAACCGTTACACACAAACACACAACTGTTACACACAAACATACAACCGTTACACACAAACACACAACCGTTACACACAAACACACAACCGTTACACACAAACAAACAACTGTTACACACAAACACACAACCGTTACACTCAAACACACAACCGTTACTCACAAACACACAACCGTTACACACAAACATACAACCGTTACTCACAAACACACAACTGTTACACACAAACACACAACCATTACACTCAAACACACAACCGTTACACACAAACACACAACCGTTACACACAAACACACAACTGTTACACACAAACACACAACCGTTACACTCAAACACACAACCGTTACTCACAAACACACAACCGTTACACACAAACACACAACCGTTACACGCAAACACACAACCGTTACACACAAACACACAACCATTAATCACAAACACACAACCGCTACACACACACACAACCGTTACACGCAAACACACAACTGTTACACACAAACATACAACCGTTACACACAAACATACAACTGTTACACACAAACACACAACCGTTACACACAAACACATAACTGTTACACACAAACATACAACCGTTACTCACAAACACACCACCGTTACACGCAAACACACAACTGTTACACGCAAACATACAACCGTTACACACAAACACACAACCATTACACTCAAACACACAACCGTTACACACAAACATACAACCGTTACTCACAAACACACAACTGTTACACGCAAACACACAACCGTTACACACAAACACACAACCATTACACTCAAACATACAACCGTTACTCACAAACACACAACTGTTACACACAAACACACAACCGTTACACTCAAACACACAACCGTTACTTACAAACACACAACTGTTACACACAAACACACAACCATTACACTCAAACACACAACCGTTACACACAAACATACAACCGTTACTCACAAACACACAACTGTTACACACAAACACACAACCATTACACTCAAACACACAACCGTTACACACAAACATACAACCGTTACTCACAAACAAACAACTGTTACACACAAACACACAACCGTTACACTCAAACACACAACCGTTACTCACAAACACACAACCGTTACACACAAACATACAACCGTTACTCACAAACACACAACTGTTACACACAAACACACAACCATTACACTCAAACACACAACCGTTACACACAAACATACAACCGTTACTCACAAACACACAACCGTTACACACAAACACACAACCGTTACACACAAACACACAACCGTTACACACAAACATACAACCGTTACTCACAAACACACAACCGTTACACACAAACACACAACCGTTACACACAAACACACAACTGTTACACACAAACATACAACCGTTACACACAAACACACAACCGTTACACACAAACACACAACCGTTACACACAAACAAACAACTGTTACACACAAACACACAACCGTTACACTCAAACACACAACCGTTACTCACAAACACACAACCGTTACACACAAACATACAACCGTTACTCACAAACACACAACTGTTACACACAAACACACAACCATTACACTCAAACACACAACCGTTACACACAAACATACAACCGTTACTCACAAACACACAACTGTTACACACAAACACACAACTGTTACACACAAACACACAGCACCGTCTGAAACGTACACCTCCTGGATAGATGGAGTTGGAGACACTCGTATAGGATAGAGGAATCATGAAATCATGTAATGATGAATAAATCATCTTTAAAGAGATCCTTCCAGAATGACTCAGAAAACTGCAGGTTAATTTATAGCTATGAATACAAAGCATAAAGTCAGTTTTATCAGCTTTATTGAAACAGAATCAAGATGCTCTTAATTTATCAGTTGCAGAACCAAGTCTAACAAAACAAACATGAATATTTCAACGCGCTGCGTATTAAATGTGTGTTTGATGTGAAGCGAGTGCATTTATAGAGGTTAATCTCAGTCTCTGAGCTCCCAGTGTCTTCTGTTGTGAATTATTAAGCGCTCGCGCCCCGCCGTCACTCCAGCGCTACACTTCAAAATTAAATTAGCTAAGAGAGAGAGAACTCCGGTCTCTTGCTTCCTTGTGTCCCGAGCGCTCTGGCGAACTCCCGTCAGGTTTACTCCCCGCTCATCCCGCTGTCAGACAGGCTCCTGGCGGAGGCTTGCTGGAAGGGTCCCTGCACTGGGAACTCTCACTGTTTTACACTCTTCCTCTAGATCACTAGATCATCCGTTCGTCTCTCAGGGTTCTGCTCTAAGTCCAGGACTCCAGTCTGTCATGGAACCAAACAATAGAACGGAAACTCTTTTTCTAGCAATTCTGAGAAAAAAGTCAGAGTTGCCAGATAGTCATGATTGCGAGACATAAAATCAAAATTTTGAGGAAAAAATTTCTGAATTGTAATTTATTTATAAACTCGCAATTGTGAGAAAGAAAAATCATCTCTTCCGTGAGCACTTAACATAAAAAAAAAAAAAAAAAAAAAAAAAAAAAACGTCCTTTTCCTTTAAATCCTCGCTTGTCTGGCTTATGCTACTCCGAGCTATGTCTGAACTTTGTATTTTGAGCACTTCTTGCGTTGTTTTTGTCTCTTCACGATGACTCGCTTGGTTTAGTCCTCAGTTGTAAGTCGCTTTGGAAAAAAGCGTCTGCTAAATGACTAAATGTAAATGTAAAAGTCGCAATTACCTTTTTCATATATCCGTTCTGCGAAAACGAGCTTCTATAGGAAAGAGGTTTCGGAAGACGGTTTTAATGTATTTTTAGTTTTTCTAGCAATTCTGAGAAAATAGTCAGTCGCCAGATATAAAAGTCAGGATTGCGAGATATAAACTCAAAATTTTGAGGAAAAAATGTCAGAATTGTGAGATAAAAGTCACAATTACCTTTTTTATATTTTTGTTCCGTGGCGAAAGCGAGCTTCTATTAGAAAGAGCTTCCGGAAGACGGTTTTAACGTGTTTTTGTCTTGTTGCCGTTTTCGCTGCTTGTTTTGCAGTCTTAAAACTGTAGTATAAACACAAAAGTGCGGAAAAAAGGTCAGAATTCTGAGATCGCGAAAAAACATAGTGGATTGCGAGATGTAAATTCGGAATTCCGAGAAAAAAGTCCGAATTGTAATTTATTTATAAACTCGCAATTGTGAGAAAAAAAGTCACAATTACCTCAGTTTCGTTAGGTTTTGAAGAAATATACAGCTGAGTATCATCGGCATAACAGTGAAAACTAATTCCATGTTCCCTAATGATATCTCCTAAGGGTAGCATGTACAGAGTGTGTGTGTGTGTGTGTGTGTGAGAGGGTAGCATGTACAGAGTGAACAGCAGCGGTCCTAGTACTGAGCCTTGTGGTACGCCATACTGAACTTGTGATCGATAAGACATCTCTTCATTTACTGCTACAAACTGATAACGGTCAGATAAGTGTGATTTAAACCATGCTAGTGCAATTCCACTAATGCCAACATAGTTTTCTAGTCTATTTAAAAGAATGTTGTGGTCAATAGTATCAAATGCAGCACTAAGATCGAGTAACACTAATAGAGAGATACAACCGCGATCGGATGATAAGAGCAAATCATTTGTGACTCTGATGAGAGCGGTCTCAGTATTGTGAGAAAATTGTGAGAGAAAAAGTCGCAATTACCTTTTTTATATTTTCGTTCTGTATAGCGAAACCGAGCTGCTATAAGAAAGAGCTTTCGGAAGACGGTTTTAACGTATCTTTATCTTGTTCGCTGCTTGTTTTGCATATTTCCATGTTCTCTGTCTTCAAGCTGCAGTATTAGCACAACAGTGCGTGTGTTTAATGATGTCTTCACTCAGTGTTGGTGCAGGTGTTCAGTACGGTTTGAAATGAGTGATTTAATTCTGTGTATCAGTCCAGATTTATTTCTCACTATTAAGTTTGGCCAGTTCTTGCAGTTCATCTTGGCTTATATTGCATCTCTTGAGAGGGATTTGCCGCAGACAGTCGTACGTGTCATTTGTTGCAGTTTTAGGAATAAAAGCAAAGGGATGAAACATGAATAAAGCAGTGAAACTGGAGCTCACGGTGGAACTGAGTCTGCACTGCGGTGAAGATGTGAGATATTAGTTTGTGTGTATAAAACGATGTTGGTCTTGTTGTCACAGAAGGCAAAGTTTGACCAATCACAGACTGTGTCACTGGGGGAATCTTTCCCGAGATTCATCATGAACACACAAACACGAGCAGCGACTGACTGAATCCTAGTTCAGTGATGTGTGTGTCGTGTGGATTGAGAGTTTGAGAAAGTTCGTCATTGAGAACCCCTGTCAGATCTCTTTGCTCACTTCATCCGGATTCGAGGTTCCTCTCCCCGGAGCGATCGATCCTGATCCTTCCCTCTCTGGGAATGGATTGCTTTGGGAAGTTGCATATTGTGAGATATTATTGTGCCCGGTGGCACCTAAAATCAGCAAAGTAGTCTTGTCAGCGACTGAATTATCAGACTCCATTCGATGCTCGTGACAGATCATTCCTCTAAACGGCTGGTCGCCTCGAGCGGCTTTTTCCAGCAATAGATATAAAAGATGTTTCCGTGAACAGGCATTCATTTAATCCAGATCGACTCGGTGAAGCGTTCCCCAGACTCTCAAGCCGCAGACACACATCTTACATCGGGGCTGTTGGGTGGGACGAACTCTGTGAAAGATATCATTAACATACTGTTTCCTTTTCAGCTTCTAACCCAACGATTTTAACTCTGTGTTATGAATGTTAATATCACCTTTTCTCCCCGTGGATTCACAGTTTCTTTGAGTTTAATGAGTCTGTTCATCATTATGCAAACATGAAGCTCTTTTTGAAGGTTGGTTAAGGGGAGGGGGGTGCCATGTTGATGCCATGGTTTGAGGAGGTTTCAGATCACAGACCAACAGTCCTTCCCCCTCAAGCTGCTTGAAACGCAATGTTTGTCACACTAATTTGCCTCATCATATGAATAACAATGATATGCATTATGTGTTTAAACAGAAACAGCTCTTCTGCACCCCATTTTCATAGATTTCTGCTCCATTAAAAGGTGTTGATGTTTCACAAGTCTAAATCTGAGCAACGAAAACTTGTATAATTTAACTTTTGGCATTCCTTGACACTCAGAGAAAAACAGGCCTTTGTTATTCATGCTCTGAGATTTCCAAAAGACAGGCTTATGGATAATTATGTTGAAAGATTTGGTCTGTGTTTTGGGGAGGGGAAACTCTTGTGGGACAGTAATTTGAAAATATCACCTTCGGTATCCCGGGGTGAGAGTGGGAAGTTTTGCATATAGATCCTCATCATTAGCGAGATATCACCATGCCAACGGGGAGCGGGGATTATGAGCTTTGTGAGCTCCGGGAAAAACGTTCAGTGAATGATGAATTCAAAACACTTTACCTACTTTGAAACATGGGGTGAAATTTGTTTATCACTATCCGAGAACAATCTTACACAGCTTTCTTTTTGTAATTTTTTTTTTCATGCAAAAATCATGCGGCCAATTTGTTAATGTAAGTGACCTGTACTACGTGGTTTGCTATCTTGTTAAACATGCAGTGAGTGGAGGTTAGCATAGATAGCGTTAGCATTAGCACTAGCACTAGCACTAGCACAGCCAAGTCTGTATGTACTGTACAGTAGATATAGAACTGTTTTTGTAGGATTTATCTGAATGTACATTCTAGATTATGCTGGGTAGCACATTATGCTTAAGTTTTAAATGATTTTCTGTATTATTCTAACCCTGTAATCAAGTATACAACAGTAATTCTTTAGCATTAGCCTAGCTGTTTATAGTCTGATTTTAAATAGATGCTAACCAAACTAACTTTAGAACTAACCTCATTAAGTCTTAGTCCTGTTCTAATGATGGTTCTTCTCTCTCTCTTGTTCATTTGTCTTGCTCGGGTAACTAATGCCGTGTTCCTTCTCTCTTTCATCCTAGGAGGTGAACTAGTGTTGCCAATTATAACTGTGGATTCCCTTGATCCCCCATCAATTGCGACACGTTACCCTGTTATTCCCCCGCCCCCGACCTTTCGCCCCTTCCTCACCTTGCTCGAGACCACCAAAGAGTCTCTCGCCCTGCCCGGGCGGCCCCCTTGTCCACTAGACCAGGAGGACTGCGAAGAGCCCATGGAGGTCTCGGCCTACGGCTCGGGCGAGATGACGGAGTCCGACGATGAGGATTACTATAAAAACTCGCCCCTTGTCACTGATCGGACGGTACTCCCGCCTCCCCCCCGGGGTGATCGCCCCTTTGCCCGTTTGCCCAACTCCCATCGGCCGCCGCTCCCCTTCACCCCTACGGCCCCACCAGTTTCCCGACTCAAACCTGGCATCAACACTGGCCCCAACATCCCGGCGGGTAAAATGAACACTCGTGACCAAGTGCTCCTGCCGCCCGCTCCGCCGTCGGGCGAACCAGAACACGGCGGGCGGCATCGACACAACCCAGGTATAACGTATCCCCCCAATTTCCCCCATGTCCCCACTACAGACCCCTCGTCGCCAGACCGAGGGCCGCCGGGAGCAGTGGAGGTCATCCGCGAGTCCAGTAGCACGACGGGAATGGTTGTGGGAATCGTAGCCGCGGCCGCTCTCTGCATCCTCATCCTCCTCTACGCCATGTACAAGTACCGAAACCGTGACGAAGGCTCCTACCAGGTGGACCAGAGCCGCAACTACATCAGCAACTCAGCCACGCAAAGCAACGGCGCCCTAGTGAAGGAGAAGCAGCCCGGCACAGCCAAGACGGGCACTAAGAGCAAGAAAAACAAAGACAAGGAGTATTACGTCTGAGCTCGGCCTCCAAAGGGACCGAGGCGGGAGAAGGAGAGAGATAGGATGAGGAATGGAAAGGGAGATTTTTCGGCAGTTAACCGGTCACTTATAGTGCTCTGACATCAGTCTTCTTTAATTTCCTGTCTCGTCTAGCTGTTGGCCTCATTTCCAGCGAGCGGTAAAGAGTATGAAGGTGTCTATAGGGTTTGGAATCATTCCTTCCCTCATTTAAATTTTTTGATAGCTAATCCCTGTTATGAAAAGAAACTCTGCAAACCTTTTGTATTAATGAAAAGGGGATTTTTCCGCACACTTAATTTGACACTCTAGTTTGTTCTTTGTAAATACTACTCGAGTCCTCAATATTCAGATCATCTCCTAGCCTGATGTCAAAACACCCGTGTATGCCAGGCTGCTTGGGCAATCCATTGTTGCTCCATCAGAGCATTGGATGTGGTCGAGAATTGTTTGGGAATGAGAGCAGTTAGATTGGAACGGCTTGGCATAGGTGACATTTCAGGAACAGATGGTGCCGAAAACGTTAAGCAGTCACACTCCTCCGTAATACTGCCAAACCAGCTCTGTGTCAAATCCGTCTCCTTCTCTTTCCAAGTGCTTCACGTTTCTTCATCCCTCTCTTTCTCTCTTTCCCCACACCCTTTCTTGGCTTGTTCTCTCTTTTCCTCCTTGTCCTTGGTGCTCAGGAGCAGATGCAACGTGATTCTGTTGTGTTTCCAGCATGTGGTATTCAAAATGAAAACAGACAAATACTGTTTCTGTGGAGTCAAACAAATTAATAAATGAATATATATACATATATATATCAAACCGTTACAACTAGCGAAACATCTGTGGATGATCCCTTCAGCCGCCAGAACTCTCGGAGGCCCGCGGTCACCCCACGTTACAGCAGATATTCGTCATGTGTGTTTGGGGGTTCCACAGGGCTCCGTCCTCGGCCCGCTGAGGATCTTGGTTTCTGCTCTAAGTACCTCATTCAAGAACCCGAAACACAACCCCCAACAGCAAATGGACACATCCATGTATACAGATGTTTGAAAAGGACTCGTGAACACGATTGATCAAGACCCACGTCCCCAAACCATATCAGTGGAAAACAGCAGAGACTGATAGGATGCTTTTTTGTTTTGTTTTCTATGTGTGTGCGTGCTTTCCTTTTTATTTTGTCACAATGTCAAATGGAAAAGACAATAGTGTTCCAGTTAACGTACATCCCGAGTAGGGAACGTGAACTCTCCTGCATCTTTGAGCACGTTCTCTCGGGAGGAAAGTAGGTATGAACTTTGCGCATTTAAGAAAACGGAACAAACTCTCTTGAAAGAAAGACGAAATGGCCTGTTTCTTGGAAGATGTACATCTTGAACTCTAGTATTCTAATTTTCTCAACTCTATTAAAAGAACTAAACTCTACAATGAAAAGAAAATGTTTAAAACAGTTTGTGAAATGTCTAAATATTTGAATCTCATCCCAGTGCTAAAAGAGATGTGTTTTTCCTAATTATCATCCCTAAGAAAAAAGAAAAAGAAAATAACGTGCAATGAAATGCACAGATAAGTGAATCAGATTCCAGAAAGCAGATGCTCCTTTGAATATTAAACAGCAAAATACGATTTGGTTTACAAGAAAACATTTCCTTTACCTGGCGGGATAGTATCCGGGAGACTTTGATCCTCCGACTCTCTCCTCTGTTTGAATCATGTCGCTCGCTTTACCCAGCGTGTGGAGGGCTGTTCATACTCCATATTCTCTCAACGAGGACCAGACAACCATCATCATTTGATTTCACTCTTCCATCTCTGAGTGTTTGTGTGCTTGTGTGTCTGTATGAATGTCTCCATTATTTCCGATCCTGTTCGGGTTTGTCAGTTGCATTTCTCCTCAGCCCCCTTGTTCTTTCTAAATGTTATTGTAGAGTGTTCCAGTGAGATGAATCTGCATACGTGTATATTAACAGAAGGGAATACAATTGGTTATATACTTCTTACACCCTGTGTCGTGTGCTTATTTAGCATTCACACTTTTCTTCCAGAACATTCTTCCTCACCTCAGCTCAACACAAACCCTTTGAGTGGGTAAACTAGAGTGTATTTATAGTCCAGTGTAACTCCATTTACAACCTTCATTCACATCACGATGAAGCTGGACACGAGTTCCGGTACGTTTTTGATTCTCATAATGCGGTTACAATTTCAAGATCATTTGCGATTCATATCTGGAAGACATCTCGTGCGTACGTTTGCTTGCATTACATTTGCGTATGCTTCAAATGGTTATCCAGATATGCAAATATGCACTACTTTAACAACAAGATAAGGCGATGCAGCTGTTGTGTAAGAACTGATAAAGTATACCAGTCACAGCAGCAATTGTTCAAAATTATCTCAGAATTTCGATTAGGAATATCCAACTAGGATTTTCCAATTAGTAATTTCTGATTAGGAATGTTCAGCTAGGAAACTCTAACTATGAATGTATCTATGACAGACAGATAAAGAAAAAAAAATATTCAGAAAAAAGAACAAGGTTCATCTAAGAACAAAAGACATCAGGACTGAAGAAGTGAAAGATTGAAAGTGTTGGAAAGTGCAGATGTGTTTTAGAACACAAACACACACTCTCTCTCTCTCACACACACACACACACACACACAGGCTCTCCTCTTTCTGTTTCCATGGAAACAGGCTTCAGCCTTTATGATGGTGTGTGTGTGTGTGTGTGTGTGTGTGTGTGTGTGTGTTTGGGGGTTTAAACAGTTCTCCAGTGATCTCTGGAAACAGGCAGAGAAATAAAAGAGGACAGACAAAACTGAAAATGAAGAGGCAGAGAAACAACAGTCAGTGTTTATGACCCATTAATGAAGAATGACTGGCGTTTTAAAATCATATATTTCATAGAGTTCACAATCACAAACTGTCAAAGAAACACATTACTAGAACAATTTGTGACTCTTCAAGTCCTGTAAATCACAATCTCTGCCTGATATTTCCAGGTTTTCCATGACAAGCAATCCTGACACACAGGCACACGCACACACACACACACACACACACACACACATGTTGGTGCAACAGCATTATGAGGACTCTCCATAGGCGTAATGGTTTTTATACCGTAAAAACTATATATTCTATCCCCCTACACTGCCCCTATCCCTAAACCTACCCATCACAGGAGACATGCAGCATTTTTAATTTTTTAATAAAACATTGTTTTTTATGTTTTTTAAGCCATTTGATTTATGAGGACTTTTGAAATGTCCTCATAAACCACCCATAAGTTGTAATACCAGTGTAATACACATGTCATTATACAAATTTGTGTCCTCATAAATCACATAAACCAACTCACACACACACACACACGCAATCACTCTCTCACACACACACAATCACACTCTCTCACACACGGCTTGACTACATTCAGTTCAGCAGCTCGTATTTATGATGTAAACAAATAATATTAATTAATTATTATTACAAGTAAGAATCGCCAAACAAAACTCGCCAGCTGGTGAATTTATCACAAATATACAAGAGAGAAACAGCAATAGAAACAAAAATACACTTTACAAATATTGTAAATACAGTTAAAGAAATATCATGAAGGCAGTATTTAGCTTTATTTAGTGAATTATAATAATCCTGTTCCCATGATGTCAGCGCTCTACTGTTTGAGTGATATTTCCTGGTAATTCTGTTAAAAATCATTAATTGTACAGTATGAATCACCGATCTCTAATGGTTTGAGATGGCGTGATGAAGCTCGCCGCTGATGAGATTATTACAGAAAATCTGCACAAATACTTTCAATCAACAGCATTTCAGCTCTGAACACAGACTGGAGGATCAGATGAGTCTCTGCTCACAGTGTGATTCACTGCATCTCTTCTCAGTTAAAGGGGTGGTATAATGCTCTTCACAAGATGTAAAATAAGTCTCTGATGTGTGTGTGTGTGTGTGTGTGTGTGTGTGTGTGTGTGTGTGTGTGTGTGTGTGTGTGTGTGTGTGTGTGTGTGTGTGTGTGTGTGTGTGTGTGTGTGTGTGTGTGTGTGTCTGTGTCTGTGTCTGTGTCTGTGTGTGTGTGTGTGTGTGTCATTTTTTGAGGGTGAGAAAAAACGACCCGTTTTGTGTGTGTCCCTTTAAATGCAAATCAGCTGCTGCTCCCGGCACAGGGGGCGGAGCTACAACAGCTGTGTGTGTTAGCAGCTCCGATTACCACACACACACACTGACATGACAGAAACTGTTCAGCCTTTTATGTTTAAACGAAGATGGAGAGACTCAAGAAGAAGTGACAACATGTAGAAGCAACAGGACGTCTCTGAATGGTTAGTTGATGAATTTATGTAGCTCATGTGGAGTTAACTATCTTCAATTAGCATATTCTGTCATGATAATCTATAAATCGCTTGTATAGGAACTGTTGTGCGACATTACAGCGACATTGCACACTAACTACAGGTAGAAACAGCGACATTACACACTAACTACAGTCAGAAACAGCAACATTACACACTAACTACAGTCAGAAACAGCGACATTACACACTAACTACAGTCAGAAACAGCGACATTACACACTAACTACAGTCAGAAACAGACATTACACACTAACTACAGTCAGAAACAGCGACATTACACACTGACTACAGTCAGAAACAGCGACATTACACACTAACTACAGTCAGAAACAGCAACATTACACACTAACTACAGTCAGAAACAGCAACATTACACACTAACTACAGTCAGAAACAGCTACATTACACACTAACTACAGTTAGAAACAGACACATTACACACTAACTACAGTTAGAAACAGCTATATTACACACTGACTACAGTCAGAAACAGCAACATTACACACTAACTACAGTCAGAAACAGCAACATTACACACTGACTACAGTCAGAAACAGCAACATTACACACTAACTACAGTTAGAAATAGCGACATTACACACTAACTACAGTTAGAAACAGCGACATTACACACTAACTACAGTCAGAAACAGCTACATTACACACTAACTACAGTTAGAAACAGCGACATTACACACTAACTACAGTCAGAAACACTAACTACAGTTAGAAACAGCAACATTACACACTAACTACAGTCAGAAACAGCGACATTACACACTAACTACAGTTAGAAACAGCAACATTACACACTAACTACAGTCAGAAACACTAACTACAGTTAGAAACAGCAACATTACACACTAACTACAGTTAGAAACAGCGACATTACACACTAACTACAGTCAGAAACACTAACTACAGTCAGAAACAGCAACATTACACACTAACTACAGTCAGAAACAGCGACATTACACACTAACTACAGTCAGAAACAGCGACATTACACACTACCTACAGTCAGAAACACTAACTACAGTCAGAAACAGCAACATTACACACTAACTACAGTCAGAAACAGCGACATTACACACTAACTACAGTCAGAAACAGCGACATTACACATTAACTACACTCAGAAACAGCGACATTACACACTAACTACAGTCAGAAACAGCGACATTACACACTAACTACAGTTAGAAAAAGCGACATTACACACTAACTACAGTCAGAAACAGCAACAT